TTTTCCTCCCCCTTTCCCCCCTCTCCGGTGCCGGGGAGCGGAGCAATCCCGGTGTCCTGCGCTCCTCTGCCTCTCCCGTATCCCAACTTCTGTGCGCTACTGGCTGGTGCCGCTCGAGGGGCGTGAGCAGCTCCGTGCCTGTGGTCAGTGATGAAGACTTTCTGCTCTTTTTTATCCCCACAGCACGGAGCCACCGCACTCCAGGGCCAGCCGGCAGCTCCTCATTCCCAACTCTCGCCTTTTCCAGCCCCTCTCCAGGAGAATGCAGCTTTCCCCCGCGGCTGCTTTATGATGAGGTGAGTAAATTCTCTTTTTCCAGCGCCGCTTCGCTGCCCGGGGTCATAAAACCGGGATTTTTTCCTCGGGGGAAGGCTGGGGGGAAGGAGAATGTGTAGACTGCCCCACGGCACTGCTGAGGGGTCACTCCGGCGCTTTTCCGGGGTTTTTTCCCYTCGCCGTTCCCGGCTGGAGGCTCCTGCCTTTTACTCTGCAGACACAACTTTTCTCCCCCCTTTCCCCCCGTCTCTGGCTCATTCAATGACTCAACGAGGTTTGTCAGAGTTAAAAAATGATGCTCTTTGCTCAAACTATTCGGGATATTTGTGTCATCCCAGACCTTTCAAAGGCAAATCGTTGCCTTTCCCGTTCCTCCCCGCCGAGGCTGCTGCTGCCCCCGGGCCCCCGCTCCGCTCCGGGCGATGCTCCCGATCCCCCCCGAGCTGAGTTTTGCCGCTGTCACCGCCCGCGACGGTGCCACCTCTGCCGGGAAAGTGTCGCCTGTGTCCCGGCAGAGCCACCCCCGGCAGAGAAGGAGTTAATCCAGCCCCCCCTTTCCCCCCCTCCCTCCACTTCAGCTGCAAAAAATATGAAGTGAGGATGGATCCGCTCATCTGCTGAGCAGAGGAGTTGCTTTGATGTCGGTCCTGCTGTCGGTCCTTCCTTCCCCTCCTTCCCCYCCTTTAACCCTTCTGCCGGTGCCTGCCTGGAATTGCGGCCCCCCCGCCCCGGGAATTCCGTGTGCGTGGCAGGGGACACGCGGGGACAAGGGGGACACGCGTGGGGCTGCGATTGTCCCTTTATTTGACCCCATTCCCGGGACGCGCATCCCCCTCGGGAGCKCTCCAAGGCTGGGGGGGACACCGGGGACAGGGGAGGGGGTGGCRATGRCRTTGTCACCTGGGGTGGCCCCARAGCGCTGAGCTGGTCCTGTTGGGGRTTGTCRGGGTGGGATTTTAACTTGGRGGAGGGATTGAAARKGGGTTTTAACCCCRWTTTTCCGCCGCCGGAGAAAAGCGCCGCTGCCGCTTTAAGGCAGAAGTGTCCCTTTAAGCGACTTTCCATTTGCTGCCTTGGAGAGCAGAGAATTCGGTTTCCCAGATTTCCTCTGAATTGTGTGCAGGAGGCAGAGGGAGTTAAAAATTACTCGGGAAAGCTTTTGGCGACTGCAAGGCGGGGGAAAAAAGGGGGCAAAATGAGATTTAGGGGGAAATGAGGTATAAAGTACAAACTGAGATTTGTAGGGGGGGGAAAGGATTTAGGGGAGAAAAAAAGGAGATTCAGGGAAGAAAAAAA